CCATAAACATAGTGTTTCGCTGAATATATAACTATATTCATACTGCTCTTCCTGAGGAGATCAGAGAGCACAACCAGTCTCTAACTTCTGCTGTTTAATTTTGTGCAGAGCTTAGATACAATGATAGACAGCCACGCTCTCCGATCTCCAAAGGGATTGGTGTAAAGTATGGGATTGTTTTTATGTCATCATTAAAAATATTATCAAGGTTAAATAGAATAAAGTGCTCTGTGACTTTGCTCTGTCAGTGAACCTTTGCTTAGAGCCAGATATTTCTTGTTCTTAATCCCTTGTAAAGTGTAAGTGCAGGCCATTGAAGTCTTCTCAATTGCCTTGCAATAACACTTGGAATCTGGTATTTCATAGTGAACATTCTTTGATGTGTCACTGTTTGAAAGGCTGCTTGAGGCTTTTTCTATTTTATCTAATCTTTCGAGAGAGAGAGTCCAAGACTGAACATGGAGGCTGAGGAAGATCTGGTAAAGATAAGACTCTCAGAAAACTTTTTTTATCTCAGTGTTACGTGGGGAATGATGCCATAGCTTTTCATATAGAAGTTTCAGACCTTCTTTTTTTATAATTTGCTTCCACTCTGTTTTTGGAAATATTATTACATTGTTTCATTCCCCCTGCCCTGTCCTTTTGTGAAAAGCTCTGGATTGTATTTTTACAACAATCTTAAATTCTTTAATGTGCAACTGATGATCTATTAGTTAGACGTGGAGACTGGGAGCTAGGGGGACTTTCCCCAATAAGTTATGTTAAGGGAGGGGAATAAGTCTTAAAAATTTCTTTGAGGTTTCACATATGATCAAGATAAAAATATTTAAGGGCATAACAGTACAGTGTATGATGGATGGCAAGATAAAGGTTTCAAAGAAAGGGTAATGGGAGATGGATGGAGTTTCATATTTATAGAAAATACTATTCAAGTTATTTGGTTAAAATAATAACGTAAGGGGGGACTATAACAATAAAAACATATTAAATACTAGAATTCAAGAATACTTTTAAAATCTTTATTAAGTGAAGGATGGTAACTATTTTAATGAGTAAAGAGTCCGATAACACTACTCTGTGTACATGGATCATGAACTATGGAAAGTCAGTAAACAAATTAAAATCAGCCAGTAGGTTTGTTTATTTATACGACTGAAGTGGGCTTGTCCACGAGACACTGTGATATTATGTTCAAGCCCACTTACTCAGAAAAGATACGCAAAGAAGAGGCTGTAAAATAGCTTGCATTAGGTGGACAAAATGTGCTTTCCCCTGGCACGCTGCTTTTTCTTTTCAACAAGATTACTTTTAAAAATAAAAGCAAAAATAATTTAGTAAACATTTTTCCACAGCTCACCTCTCAGATTTGCTTCTCTCTTTTTACTGCTTCTCCTAACAGTTATTACATTATGTTTATGCAGTGAAAAAGTACAAGAAAAAGCAACATCAAACATTAAAGCCTTATTACTTTGCTGTCCCAGGAATAATACATGTTGCTCTTCTAACAGTGATGAATCTTTTATTTAATTCTGGTGCTTTGATATTATTTTATTCATTATTTTTGATTTGTATTAAGGTAGTACCTACGATGTGCTTAGTAGCTGCTTTGCATACACATAGACACAGTTCCTGGTCCAAAGAGCTCGCAATCCAAGAAGACAAGCAATAGGTAAACGAGATGAATAAATATACAATTTAAAAGGCTAACATATAACCCACTATTCCCAACCATACCTCTTACCCAAGAAATTAGCCAGCTAAGAATGACTATATGTATTATGGGAGAAGTGGATCTTGAAGAGGAATTTGAAGGAAAGGGTGTTTTTTTTTTTAATATGATAGAGGTGACAGGAAGAAGGACTGAAGACAGATGTGAAAAGTGGACAACTGGGAGGTAAAGGCTGGTATCATTGGCAGGAGGTGACATGATAACCAACAAGAATAGATAAATAGAGGTGGCAGAGTTGTGAAAGACATATGGTGAGGACAAGAAGCATAAATATGATGTGGTGAAAAGGTGGGGTAGTGACTGAATTCAGAGAGAGAGGTGAGATGGAAAGAGTGATTGGCAAGAAAGGAACTTTAGCAGTAGTTGAGCAGATTCCAGATATTTTTCCATGGAAGTTGTGGAAAAGGTTTAATATAATGGAAAAAATACATGTATAAGCACAAAAATCTCAAGTACAATTTCCATACAAGGCAGTGGCTTTAGTATTTGTCTCAATGAAAATTGCATTGTGTGATATCTGCCTACTGTAGGTTTTTTTTTTTTTAATTTGCCTTCTGTGGGGTTTCTTTCACCTTCCTCTGAGACATCTGGTGCTGATCACTGTGGAAAATGAATACTGGTCTAGATAGCCGTTGGGCCTGATCCAGTATGGCAATTCATATGTATGTTCTGATGATATATGGGTTACTAGAATAAATACCTATTTACAAAGGATAGGATACTATATGTAAAGACTACATCTTATGGGTAGAAAATAAGAGTTATGTTTGGGTTGTTTTGTATCTTCATTTACATATCAGAACTGGGGTTACTAATTGAAGGTGACTTCTAAATATAGCTATATGGCATGTAATTTTGGTACAGTACAGTGCTTCTACAGTGTATCATCATTCATTTTAGAACCAGGAACTATATATTGTATAATCTATAGTTTTTCTTCCCCTTTTACATTTCAGCAAAAGGTGTGGGCATTACAAATTAGAGCATTTGTAAAACTTACTATAACCCTTCAAGTTAAATTCATAGTTAAATTCAGTTCTGGATACTGAATTTTCTCTTTGCTACCAGTGGGGTTTCACCAATTTGAAGCGGAGTTTTAACTAAAAAAGAAAAACAAATATATGGATCATTTCCACAAATGTCTGAAATATTATAGCAAATGTTATTATTTAAGAGGCATAAAAGGAGAGATGAAAAAAGTCACTCAGCACCCAGACAGCTCATGTAAATGAGTGTTCAAGAAATTCATGGGGAAAAAGTTATCTACATTTTTCAACCTAATGGCTCATTGGCTGAGTTACAGGCTAAGCATTACTCTTATTTTTAAAACATTATCTTGGTTTTTCTGTGGTCCAGAGATCAGTTCTAATGGGAAATCTGCTACAAGGATGTTCTGAAGGAACATCAAACCTGTTCTAGGCCCTAGATTGTACCTTCCTTAAGAGAAAGTAAATCCCAAACAACTTCTCTGGATGGTGAATTTAGAGCTATATTTAAAAAAAAAAAATACTTTGGGCCAGATTGTGATACTCTCCATCACGCTGACTAGTCCCAAGAGTCTAACTGCAGTGAAGGGGTCTGCTTATAGAGTTACTATGGAGTCAGCTAGCACTGATTGTTCCCAGCAAATTCTCAATTTAGGTAAAACAGACCCACTTTGCATTAGGAAAAAGATAAGTATTGTCAATACATGGTTAACACGGGGAAATACTGCAAATAAATAAGCCTATGAATGCTTACTCTGTTTTTTTGTTTCGTTTTTTTTTTTAAATGAATTCATTTTGGCCAAACTCATGTTGTGTGGCTTTTCTTGTCCCTCTTCCTCCCACCCTCTTACTTCCTGCCCAGTCAACCAGTCCGGCATTAATACCATGAATGTTTGAAGAAAGTGAATTTCAAAGATGAATACACAAATATTTGTGGAAGCTTCCCTGTGGAAGCATTTATGTGCTCATCTGACTGAGGAACAGGATCAATAGCATATGTCTTAACTGACCAGGCACTCTTAAGCAACTGCTTACATTTTATATATTAGTATCGATCACTTTGAGTACCTTTCCCACACCTGAAGAAGAGCTCTGTGTAGCTCAAAAGCTTCTCTCTTTCATCAACAGAAGTTGGTCCAATAAAAGATATTACCTCACCCACCTTGTCTCTCTAATGTCTTGGGACCATACTACACCTCAACAACTCTGAAAGTATCTGTTATTGGCAGTCAACTGTTTGTGATCAATCCTTAAGGAAAGAAATACAAAATAAAAACAGAAACCCCCAAACCAAAAATATTACCTTCACTTCATTTATTTGAATTTAAATGTGATTTCTTCACAGATATTAAGTAAATACTAACCTCAGCTAGATAAACTAAAACCCACAAGTCAGTGGCTCATAGATATTGGCGGTGGCTAGATGAAGTCAGAAAAAAAAATCAAAGCCTTTTGCTTTTGCAGTTTTGACATGAAACGTTTAAACTTGTCACTTTGAAGCAACTTTCAATTGTTTAAATGAAATTGAACATTAGTTTGAAATGAACAACCAAAGAAAGCAAAGCTCAAACTGAAAAGCTTAATTTTGGGTCAAACCAAATGTTTCATTTGAGCCCAAACATTTTTTCCCCTTCTATTTCTTCCCCCAGCCTTGCCAGCAAGCTGAGAGAGCAGTGATTTGCACCGCTCGAGCAAGGGCCTCTAGCCGCTCCCCCACCCCCAATACCAATAAATAACACCAGTCTGTTAGCTCAGTGGCTGAGGTCTGGTGAAGATGGAGTTTGGGTTGGAAGGTGACATGCCAGTCCCAGGGAGCGGGATTTTGCTGTAGTTAAAGGAGGCATTTAGCATCTCCCTTCTAAAACAAACGCGCCCTCATTCCCCCTTGAACAGAGCTGGCAAGGCCCTGACAGCTGCCCAGGGGGCGCTCGGAAGTGGGGTGGCACAGGGTTAAGGATGAGGTGCTTGTCTCCTGTCAGCCGCGCCGCGCACAGCCGAGGGGCCAGTCTGCCCGCGGCGGGGCTGGAGCCGTCGGGGCAGGGCTGGGTGTGGCCCGAGCGGGGGCAGCCCGGGGACGCGGCTGGGTCTGAGCCTGAGGCGCACGGAGGCAGGGTTCGAAGGAGAGGCAGCAGCCCGCCCAGACGCCACGGGCAAGGGGACGCTGGCTGGGAGCAGCGTGCGCGCGGGGTCCCCGCAGCGGGCCCGGGCCCGGCCGGGCTCGGGTGGGGGGGTTCACGGCCCGGGTCACAGCCGAGCCGCAGCCGCTGAGCGCCACGTGATGCTCGCTCCAGCGCTTGGCCACCCGCCGCTTCCGACAGCCCCGGCAGTGGGAGCTGCGGCGGCCGCTGCCCAGGTGGGGAGGAGAGGGCAGCCGCCGCCTGGCCCCGCGGGCCGCCTCCCTGCTCCTCCTCCGGGCGGCTGGACCCACGCCCCGCTGCGGAGCGTGCACTGAAGGCGCTTTGCCAGCTCGCTCCGCCCGGCAGCAGGCGGGGGGCTGGACGAGGCGTCCCAGGGAGAGATGGTCCCCGCAGGGCGACACGCGTGGAGAGTCCGGGCGGAGGAAGGGGCCGCCACAGCGGGCTGAGGCGCCCGCCCCCCAAAAGTCCTGAGCTCGCCGCGAGCCCGGCTGAGTGCACTCGGAAAGGTACGTGCTGGCCCCCGCGCCGGGACCGGGCTTGCTGCCCGCCCTGCAACGCGTTCAGCTCCTGGCGGCGGCCGCTGGGGGAGGGGGAGAGCGAGAGCCCCCCAAGGCAGCCGTGTCGTGGGGAGCCCGGTCGTTTGACGTAGGGTCTGCAGGGTGCTTCCCAGCCTGGGACGCTTCCCCTCCGCTGGACGGGAGCCAGGCGGGGGGGAAGCCCCCGCCGACGTATTCATGAAAGCAAGCTTGCTGCTGCTTCCTCCCGGGAGGATCAGCCTGGTCAGTGAAGCCAGGATTTAGGACCCACTTAACTCCTCCATATTAAAACAGAACAAATCCCCCTGCGAGTCCCGCTTTCTGAGAGGGGTGACTTTTGTCCAGCTGTAGGACAGGTGTCGGGCACGAACTATGCAGGTGATTGAATACTTCATGACGGACGGGACTCGTGAGAAGTGCAGCGAAGGGTCTGCCTTCTAGTTAACTCTGCATCTCTCTCCGAGAAGTCGGCAGCCCCGTCCCTGTGGGGAAAGGGGGTCCGGGAGTTGGACACAGCCCTTTCAGCCAGGTGGTAGCGTGCCCAGCCTGCGACTGAAGCCAGCCTTGGGCTTGCTTAAAAATTCTAAGAACTATGATTACAAAAGAGTTGGAAAGTAATATTGTGCACTCTTTAGCCTGAAAATACCCTGGAAATAAAGCCAAGTTTGAACCCTGAGTTTACAATAGATACAGGATAATTTATGGGTAACACGGGTAAGGGTGGCTCTTGTTTATGGACAGGGTAGCTTCTATGTCTCTTTTTGGCACTACTGGAATATGTGTATATTCGTAGGAGTTGGAGCTAGGGATGCTGCTGCACCCCCGGCTTGAAGAGATTTCCATTATATACAGTGTTTACAGTTTGGTTTAATTGCTCTCAGCATCCCCACTATAAAAATTGTTGCAGCACCCGGGTGTATAGTCTTAAAAACAATAATGATATATCATCAGTAGTATGTGATGGCTCTCCCCCAAATGGCCTTCAGCCCCAGTTGTCTTAGCAGCTAATTAATGAAATGATGTAAGAGGAAAACTGAACTGTGTTTTTATTTCTTTCACCAAATGTGAATGCGGCTTGCCTTGTTTTATCTTAATAGCAATGAAAAGTGCAGCTTGGTTTTTGTGGAACAAAGACATTCTGCATTGCATCTTCTTGACCAGCTTGCTATAGACTTTCTTTCATACTTTCTTAAAAGTTGGAGTGTGTAAAATATTAACAAAACAGTCAGAGTCCACTTTGCTATTGAGTTTAAATCCACAAGGAACCAGACATTTGCCAAGTAAGTAATGTGTTGAGTTCTCCTGGAATTAGTCCCAGCAACAGAAGTTAGCCAAAGAGATACATTTGAAGTCTGAAGTTGGCACATATATATATATAGTGACAAAGTTCCTCCTCTACCCTTGGTAGGTCTTGCACTTTTTGGTGGATTTGCTTGCCTTAGAGCTTCATGGCAGCCCTTAGTGTGGCTGTTTTCATGAACCCACAGTCCAGGTCAACTCCTCCTGTGTCTGACCAGGAGTTGGGAAGTTTGGGGGGAACCTGGGCCCACCCTTTACTCCCGGGTTCCAGCCCAGGGCCCTGTGGAATGCAGCTGTCTAGAGTGCCTCCTGGAACAGCTGTGCGACAGCGACAACTCCCTGGGCTACTTCCCCATGGCCTCCTCCCAACACCTTCTTTATCCTCACCAGAGGACCTTCCTCCTGGTGTCTGATAATGCTTGTACTCCTCAGTCCTCCAATAGTATGCGTTCTCACTCTCAGCTCCTAGTGCCTCTTGCTCCCAGCTCCTCACACACACACACCACAAACTGAAGTGAGCTCCTTTTTAAACCCAGGTGTCCTGATTAGCCTGCCTTAATTGATTCTAGCAGCTTCTTGATTGCCTGCAGGTGTTCTAATCAGCCTGTCTGTCTTGTCTCCAGAAGGTTCCTGATTGTTCTGGAATCTTCTCTGTTACCTTACCCAGGGAAAAGGGACCTACTTAATCTGGGGCTAATATAGCTGCCTTCTATTACTCTCCTGTAGCCATCTGGCCTGACCCTGTCATAATATATATAATATATAGGCTTAAAAATACAAATCTATGAATAGATCCCATGATCTGATTTATTTTATTTTCTATTTACAATCTATTAGCCTATATTTTTGATTTTTTTTCTAAGTAACAATCTAAGGCAAAAGTAATGTGTTGCTAATATTGTAAAAACGACAGCCAATAAAATGACAGTTTTGAAATAATTTCAAAAGGGTATAAGTAGGACTTTGGAAATGAAAGTGAATAGGTCTGCATATTTACTTTTTTTGTTTGCAGTGTTGTAGCTGTGTTGGTCCCAAGATACGAGAGAGGCAAGGTGGAGGAAGTAATTAATATCTTTTATTGAACCAGCTTCGGTTGGTGGAAGATAAAGATACAAGTTTTTTGAGCTTCACAGAGCTCTTCTTCAGGTCTTGAAAAAGTAACCAGAGTGTCACCAGCTAAATACAAGATGGGACAGATTGTTAAACATAAAGGGATAACACATGTTGCAGGAAACCACTTAAAATGAAGTGCGCAATTAACACCTCTGCAGTCATAGGAAAAAGGAGGATTAGTATGTTAAAAACTGTTGAAATGAGCCATAGAATCAGTGCCTCTACTGAGACCTTGATTTTTAGTATCTAGCAGAGTTACGAATTTAAGTTCCTGTGTTGGTCTTTTGAAGGCATTGTGCTGATTTCCTTTGAGGACGAGGGCTAATAGGTCAGATATGGAGTGATTTGCACCGTGAAAAGTGTCCACTGACGGGTGAGAGGGTGTTTTGACTTTTATCATGTTTCTGTGTGAGTTCATTCAAGAGCATAGTGATTTGTCTGGTTTCTCCTATATACTCTTGTTTTTGCAGTATTTGATGCACTGGATTAGGTGGTACACCTGTTGTGGGACCCAGAGATTTTGCAAGGTGTTAGTGTGTGTGTGGGGAGGGGGGTAGTATTGATCATTGTAGCAGAAGAGATGTGTCTGCAGGGTTTGCATCTGTTGTTCTGGCAAGGTCTGGTGTCCCTATGAGTTCATGTGCCCTGGTCTGTGGGGAGCATGCTTCTGATGATGAGCTTGGGGGGTTGTTTGCAGGCCAGAAGAGGAGGTTTGGAAAAAAATTCAGGATAAGGCCCCCATCAAATATGGATTGCAATTGTTCGATCAGACCCTGTATGGGTTCCAGTGTGGGGTGGTAGGTGACAAGTAGGGGACTGTGATTAGTGGAGGGGTTCTTTTTCTGTATTTCTCTCAGGGCACTTGGATGGCCTGTTCCATGATGTTTTTTTGGTTCCTTAGTGTAATATGGCTAACTCTGGACTGCATTATGTGGGGCTTGCACATTACAAAAAAAAAGGGTCAGAATCTGTACAGAAAGACCTTTCTTATGTAAAAAATAGACTGTGATTATTTATAAACAAAAATACAAGAATATTTCTTTAGAAATACTGTAGCTTGGTCAGAAGTTACGCTGCTGGGAGTTACTATAAATGTGCCCTGGTTTTTTACATTTGTCAAAAATGCCTAAAGTTGTACATCTCTAAATGATTAATTTAGGCATCTCCATCAAGGTGACTTGATTTTTCAGTAGTGAATATCCACATCTCCCAGAAAGTCAATGGGAGTTATGCTTGCTCAGCGTCTTAGAACAATCAGGCCACCTTTACTATCGTGCCTAAATTCATATTTAGACTCTTAATTGTAGGCACCCAAATTAGAAAATGTTTGTTCTTTATTATAGAGCTGTGCTGTTCCTCACCTGCTTTTTAGAGGTAACTGACTGCTAGGCCTGGTCTACACTAGGGGAGGGGATCGATCTAAGTTACGCAACTTCAGCTACGTGAATAATGTAGCTGAAGTTGACGTACTTAGATCTACTTACCATGGTGTCTTCACTACGGTAGCTTGACTGCTGAAGTTCCCCCATTGATTCCGCCTATGCTTCTCGTTTCGGTGGAGTACCGGAGTCGATGGGAGAGTGCTCGGCGGTCGATTTATCGCGTCTTCACTAGACACGATAAATCGACCCCCGCTGGATCGATCGGTCCGGAGGTGAGCGTAGACATGCCCTTAGTTTGGGTTATAGGGAAGAGGAATGGAGGTAGTGCAGCTCTTTTAGGATATACACATTCAGTGCTGTTTGCTTATGTTAATCAGCCACTGAAGACATTTCTTAAAGAAGTTGTAACCTAAAAGTGACCTGTCAAATCAATTACAGGAATTGGCCAGAGAGAGCACTTTACCTGATCCATGGACCTCTTTCTCCCTTAGTATTGATGGGAAAAGTAGGAAAGGACCCATATGTAGTTTAGAGATATACAATTAAAAATATCTGTAAGTATTCCAGTGAGAACTACAACTTATCACTGTGGATTTTTTTTTTAAACCTGTTTCTGCATTAGATAGTACGTCAGTCTTCCACGAAGACAGTTAGCATCTGTGGCATAAGGCCACAGACTCTTTTCCCCCACCCGGTTCCTGTTTAATGTCCACGTCACCAGAAAACAAGTCTCAATGAACATGCAGTAGACCGTTCATTAATCTGTGAATCACTGACACTATAGGAGCCATTAGGGTCCATAATGACAAAACAGTACTTACCATGAAATTTAATCCACTAATTACTGGCAAACAAGTTATAAATAGCATTTATAATGAAAACACTGAAAAACCCTTAACTACCACGTGCAGCTATACAGGAAAGCTTCAAATGTCAAATATTTACAGCAGCTCTGCATAGAGGGAATAAAGTGAACGCATTCAATAGTGCAGAATTGAGTGCTGAAGGAAACATTTTGTGCCTACAAAGAACAACAGTTACAATTTTTTCTAGTAGTACTTTAAAATAGCCAATATTTCGGAAACCTCGGTCACTTCAGTGAATTTGCATCGTGAGCCTATGTAAACTATAGATTATAGAGAATATATTTAAGGCAGAGTAGGAAGTGCAAAAATT